ATTTTTGAAAGAATTATCATTAATTCAAATTTTGGCTCCAAGAATCAATTACCAAATTACCACTAATCCCAATCCTAAACTCTATAAATAGAGCCCTCATTTCATTCAAATTGGAAGCTTTTGATAGCCAAAATCACTTTGCTAAAAAATCTCTTAATTCTCTCCATCTACCAAATTCACTAAAAGCTCCATTTTCAAGAAAAGTCAGTAAGCTTTGCATTGAAGCTTACTAATCTTTGAGCTAAACCTTCATCCAAACACTTTTTCTTCATCAATTCTCTACATCCGAGCTTGGAAATTAATTATTGTGGTTGAATTGAAGCAAATTCTTGAAGTTGTGTTGATAATTCTCTAGATCTACCTTTGGTAAGTTGGATTTTCCATCTTTCACAATGTGATCTCTTGTTGATCTTTGGGTTGATTAATTGAGAATTATTTTGTGATTCCAATGGTGCTATTTTCTCATAATTTGATGGTATTTTCATGCTCAATTGAATCCATGATCATAAGGTGTTTGATGGAAAGTTTGAACAAGAATTTGGCCTTTTAAAATGTTGTTTTGTTGTCTGTAACAGCGTGCAATCGATTGCTGTAACAGTGCAATCGATTGCACTAAGTGAAATTTGCTTAAATTTTTGAAAACTTCACTATGAAAATCGATTTACACAGTAGTGCAATCGATTTGCAAAGAGACATAATGCATTTTTTGCCTTGTTTTGGGGCAGCTTTGATCCAAAATGCTTTTTCTACTCACTCCTTTTGATTGTTGGTTTAGATTGCAATTTTAAATGTCCAATTTCTCTTTAAATTAAATGGACTTTGTGATGTAGATGAAGTTGGATAAATGTTCATCAATTCAAATCTACCTAAGAGTGAATTATTTAATTCATTTTTGGCGCTTTGGATTAATGATATGTTTAGTGCTTTAATCCATCTAGAGGAGTGGTTGAATTTAAAGATGAAAGAATTTTGAGGTGGTAATCCAAATTAGCTCATCACTGCCCTCCCTCTTCATCTTATCCCTTTATTTTTTTTAAAATGTACTACATGTTAAGGGGTGATGATCTCTATATCATTTATACAAACATGAAGTACATAGATTGCTATTGACCAGCCTCAAAATAGGTGCGACTTCTACATAAGTCCACTTACGATTGCTTAACATAGCGCTAAATTTTGTCCCGATTCGAATAAATGATCATTCATGGCCCAAACCTATGTTTGCAAGTCAAAGTATGTTAATTTGATCTCTTTGATCCAATAACCTTGAGATTCATTGTGTGGAGGATTTGGTTCTACCAATCCTCTAAAGGATCTTCATCAATTTTGGTCAACGCGGATCACTTAAACATCGTTGATCATTAAATGTTACTTTTTGAGGATTCCAAAATGGATGATATACTTGACAAAAAGCAAATGCAACTTGTTGTGTGGAGGCTTTGGTTCTACCAATCCTCTAATGAGTTCCAAATTCAAGTTTCAAGATGGTCATCCAACTAACCACTAATTTCTAACAATTGACTTTACTTTATGCTTTTATTTTTTATGCTTTATGTACCATTTACATTTCATTCTATTTTCATCTTTGCTCACTTGAGCATTTACTTTTATGTCATTTGTTATTTTTCTCACTTGAACTTTTCTTTTCCTTTTAAAGACACTTAATAATCAACATGAACCATAAAAAATATTAATGATACTTGGACTATTTGGTTACTATCCTTGGCATTATGGAGTATTTGACTTCTTGGACTTAGGATTAGAGACATTGGCCTATGTTGGAGACCTTGTGACCTTAATGGATATTTTATCTGGAGCTCTTGAGGTTTACCTCAAGATATTGGGTTGTTTGTTTATTTTGTGTGCAGGTTATTGTGATTACATACTTTGTCTGTAATCTGGAATTCATCTGTATACAGCCGTTACTCTGCCCAATTTTTCCATAGACTTAATACACTTGAAATTTGGTCTTCTCAAGAGGTCTAGTATCTTTGCTTGATTGGTTTCAATCCAAAGAATGGTAATTCTACATTGGCTCATAATGTAAAGTATTGGCTTCGTGTTGGTTAGACAGTTTTCTTCCTTAGCTTTTACCTTATGCTTTAGGATAGTCCCTTCATCTCCTCACATCTTCTTTAATTTTCAAAACCTTCTCATCTTCTTTCAAAATCTTCTTTATTTTTAAACTCAAACCGCTTTCATAATAAACCTCGACTTTGTCGAGTACCTTTTCTTTTAAACTTCTTTTCTTTAAACAAACTTCAATTCATTTAATCATACTTTGACACCTTTCAAAATTAACAAAACAATTCAACACATTCAAACTCTTTTGTGCGCTCGAGCACCTTTACCCTTTAAAACTTTTTTCAAGATGAGACATGATTCATTGATAGTCGAGCAACATTCTCCTATCCCTATGGTTATAAAGGTGTCAAATTTTCCACTTGAGTAACAGAGGTTTTCTCAAACCCTCACTCTTGCTGACGCAGGGTCCATCTTTCTCACACCTTGTGGGCGTTAGTCGAGATTTCTCTCCTAACAATGACGACTTGTCTCCTTGTTTAAAATCAATCAACAAATAAGTCTTTTCTAGCCGAACTACGGTGCTCTGACTTTCTCATTGCACGAGGGAGGACGTAGGCATTAAGTATTACGACCCAAAGCGAGCAACAAAAATAATATAAAAAAACATTTCATTTTCTTTTGTTTACAAATAAACATTCATTCTTTTCCTTTAACAAATAAACCTTTACATAACACTCCTTTTGAAAGAAACCAAACAAAGTGGATCCTACGGAGTACCATAGATGCTTAGGGTGCTAATATCTTTCCTTCGCATAACCGACCCCCGTACCTCGATCTCTGATCTTTTTGGGTTTTGTTCGCTTTTTTCCAATTTCCCTTTGGAAACAATAAAGTGCGGCAGCGACTTCATTGTGTTGATTTAAGTCAATTGATGGCTTAATCTCAAATCTTTACCGCTACATTTCTATTTCATATAATCACTATCGTAATTGAGCGTCAGGAAAAGTGTGCGACACACCCAATCCCTTGAAATTTATTCACCGACTTTTTGGTTGAAGCTAATACAATAACCATGATTAAATATGTTGTAGCAGGAAAAAAACACAGGTATGATGTAGTAAGCGAACAAAGCTCAACCGGCCTTCATCCCATAAACCCAAAAAAGAATAGAATGGAGGCGAAAGAAGGAAGTCAAAATATTAGAACTTATAAGAAAGAGAAATCAAACATACCAACACGAAATCCAATTAGTGAAGTCTCATGAGCTTGGTCGAGAGCTCATAAAAAATGTTTTTAAAAAGGAACGATAAAGAAACATGAATATTTTTCTTTGCAGGTCAATAATAGTCAAAAGGGAAAAATAGCGCTTCGAAAGTATTTTATATCCTTTGTGAGCACTGAGGATTGTGCGATCATTTCACACTGCCAACAGTGGAGATTTACTCGAAATGATTTGGAAAATACTTAGGTACCCTAAGGGAAGGAGAAACGTCATTACTTACTAGAGTAAGGAAACATGTTGCCATTTCCAACATCACGCCGTGTCTTGTAAGAAATACATTTAACACGCTTATTTCAAAGGATGACATTGTCCCATCAAAATCTACATGTCCTATATTTTGTGGGCGAGCAAAGACACATGTCGCAAACGCTTGCCCAGTAGAACAGAGACAAGAGCTTGAGCAACTGTTTTGCGCCGCCCACAAGATCCAAAAGCACGTAAGCCTAAAAATGGTGAAAGGTGACATTCGACGCATAATACAAGGGCTTTTTTTCTTCACCAAGCAGTATAACTCTCTCATGAATCCTATCATAATCGTCCAGATCGATCTGACGACTAACCGTGTATCATGTCTTTTCTCATGCATTTAATTGTTAACTAATTCCCTTATTTAAAGAGGAGATCGCACAATTTCTCAAGTATTCAAATCATTTCACATTAAAACTTCATTTTTCACTCTCTTACTAACTTGAGCGTTAGAATTCTAACGTTGCAAGCCAACCCCCTCTCCACTTGCATCAAAAACTTTGAACCACGGTAACAAATCGCAAACTTATCTTCACTGACTATCATCTAGTTCCAGAGCAGACTAGCATTCTATGTGGATTAATAGCCATAATGGACCAGAAGCAAACGATGAAACAAATTCTTTTATGCGTATTGAATGGTCTTTATGGGCACATAACAAACAAGGACCGCTATTTAACAGATACCAGGACAGAGGAAAAGCACATACACATTGTATACGATTTAGACTTAAACTTGTGACTCTATTTAAGCTCCTAGCTGTTAGAGTTATCAATTAGGAAAATTCATATTAATTACTCCACCAGTATTTTGCTTAATCAATCTTAAGATCTAAACTATTTAGTGGCATAAACAACAATTTACATACAAGCATAAAGAAACAATTATTTTTGACTAAAAAGTTGATTGTGCTGTAAGAAAAATAATATCATTGTATCAAATACTTTTCATTACATTTGTGATTGTATGAGAACAAAAATAAAACTACAGAACTATATACAATTGGAGTCTAACTAAAATCTCTTATCATTATTATTTATCATTATTACATTACATTATACAAGAAGTATTTGCCATGAGGCTCATCTCAAAATTGTTTTCATGAAATAAGTAGCTTCTTAGAGTGATAGTTCCACATCCAATTGAAAAAAAAAATACATATAAAGAAGGAAAAAGGTAGAAGAATATGGAGAAATATTTGATAACACCATAATCTTCTAACCTATATACAAATTGGAGCCAACCAAAGTGTTTGTTCAGCCCCAACAAAAACCCTAAAACATTTGCATTTTTTTTTTTAAAATCTTTTAGCAGTTTCTTTTTCTTTCTTTTTTCTTTTTTTTATACTTTTTTTAAATTATTTCTAGAATGAGAACCTCCCTCTATCTGTACAAAAGAAAAAGAAAAATATATATATAAATATATAAGATATACACATTCGAGTTCATCAATGAGATTGCATTACTGAACAAGCAACAGCCTGAGCCCAGTGCCTTAATTTAGTTTTAATAAGAGCTGGATCATCCCCTACAACCACATTACAACACTTAATATTAATTTCAAACATTAATTATTTAAATCACCAAAAACTATATAATAATTTTAACCCTAGTTAAGTGAAATAAAAATAAAAATAATATATTGTAAAAAATAGATACAGATATTATTAAATTGAACGTCATCATTGTGTTAAAACCCTAATATTTTGTATGCAAGATGATTGATAAATTTTGTGTTACCTGGGTTACAAATTTTCCAAGAATCAGAATCAATCATACTTTCGGTAGGACTCGCAATAGCCGAAGACGCGCGGCTGTGGGAAAGGCGGCGAGGCGTAGGTGCAGGTGTAGGGGAGGAGACCGGACTCGGAGACAAGTTTCTGTTAACCGCAAAATACAGATCAAGCGCCGGCAACGTATTACAAAGCTTCTGTCCATCTTCTTCATTGAATCCAAACCCTAATTCAATGCAGCCTCTAAGTTCATGTAAATCTTCGTCGTTACAATCGTGAATACTATTCCTTCTCCGGTGAGTTTGTCGCCTTCTTCTCTCCCAGGCCATGTCACCCAGAGTTCCACACATAGAATGTTGCCTCGTTAAACGCTTTCTTTTTTTGAACGCAAATGTCGGTTTCTGATTAGAAATTTCCTGCAACATTAACAACTCTTCTTGATCTGAAAAATAGTTTTCACAAACTACTACTCCTCCTTGTAACAATATCTCCTCGCTACTCATAATATTAATAAAATAACAAATTTATTATGAATTTTAACGGTTTTTTTGGCGGTGAAGGTGACGGCGGGGGAAGTTAAGGAAGAAGAAAACTCCCTCGCCGCCGAGGAAGGATGAGAATTTTGAGAAATGAAAGATACGAAAGGTGAAAGTGAAAAATGTAGGATGGGTTTGGTTAATTAAATAGGAAGCTAATAATAAGGGATTTGGTTAATTTTGTGTTTGATATTTCCACCATTCATTTGGTAACTAATTATGCCACCATATCCTTCTTATACGTTAATTAATTTAGTTAAAGTGGGTTGTTTACTACTAATATATGTTTGTTTCGGTTATGTGTTTTTGGAAGGTGTTGCTATATTTGGAATCAAGATTATAAAATCTTTTTCAATTTATCGTTAACTTATCGAATATGCTTTGCATGAATATGATTTGCAATTGCTATATTTGAAATCAAGTTTTTCTTTTCTTTCTCAAATTGAATCAAAGTAAATAAAATTATTTTTATTAGTATATAAAATTGAAGTATTTTAAACTTATAACATATATATATATATATATATATATATAAATATATATATAAATATATATATATATATATATATATATATATATATATATATATATATATATAAATTAAATTGCAACACAATATTTGTCGACAGATTGAATAGATTTATCAAGATGTAAGTGATACTGAAATTAAATTGCAGCACAGAGAATTGTTAATCCAGTTTGGTGCAACATCACCTACTCTAGAGACTAGTAAGTCAGGAAGAAAATCTACTATCAATAGTATCAATTCAAAGCCTAAACAGTCCAGTTTACAACTTCTCACTTAATCCTTATCCAGTGCAACTTCTACCTATAAATCACAATCTAGACATGAGAAATCTCATCTCACTTCCTAATCACCTCATGTGATATCTAACAGTCACAATCCTAGTGACTGATATTCGACCAAGGGCTTTCCTAAACAAGTGGAGTTGTAGCATTAGCGATTACGGGTGTCTTAATAGAAGAGAGCGGATAGGAATCTCAAATCTCCTCTTATAGAGGCTATAGGGATTTATCTGGGTACTGACTTAAGCAAGGGGTCAGCTTATTCTCTGGTTTCAAGATCAAGAGTGTTACGCAAACAAAGAAAGGATATACACTTGGGTACGAGACCGACTAAATGGATAGGCAATGAAGCTCAGTCTGATTCTTCTGAGTGAAGAACTTGCTCCGCACACAAAGGCTACATCTAGGCCTTTCATTGATTTGACTTTTCCATTCATTTTTGAAGTCCTTCCTTCGCTCCGGGCACGCTGTTTAGATCTATTTCGGTTGCCAATGAAATGGAATATGGGGAACTCTCCGTCTAAGTGGTTAATCCGACGAGTCAATCCTCATATTTGTGATGCTCGCTTTCTTTTATTGCTTGGCAGCTTTTCAAAATCTTCCAGATAGTAACCGCGTCATTCATAGCCATCGGGGAAACAACCCTCTTCCCTCGGTCCGTCTTGCTTATGCTTGATGGAAACTAGAGTTCAAGTTCAAAAAACAACTCAACAAGAAGATCACACTTCCAATACAAAAATACTTAGTTAAGACTCTTAACTAAGAATAATACTTGGTTTTGCTTAAAAGCTTCAACCAAGAACAACACTCAACTCATTACCTAAAGGCTTATGAGTGAGAATATTACGTCTACCACAAGTATCAAAAGATATAAGGTTGACTTACACCCACACAAGAGACTCTCAAAATCTAAGACTCTAAGTTTCCCCTAGTTTACAAATTATAAAAAACTTAATTGAAAGAATTGATACATTAGATTTAGGTTTTCTCCTTTAAATACACATTTGTAGTCCATGGGCTTTGAAATCTGCATCCAGATATTTCTTGATCCACGAGCTTAGTGATGCACTAATTGTGCATCAAAATCTCGTTAAATCTTGGAACAAATAATATCAAGTTTCTTAAATTGTCTCAAGGCCCAATTTAGTAACTTATGTACAGTTGCAGATACAAAACGTGTTCCAGATTAAATCTTCTTCACCTGCAAAATTTATTGAGATATATCCAAAATGAATATCACAGAATCAAATCAAATCTATCAAGATTTAAAACAACATGTACTGATATTCTGGTACAACATGTTACAACATCTGCCAGAACATCTGCCTTCAAATGAACCACACCAACATGTTAGAACATCTTCCATAACATCCTTGTTGTAAACCATGTTTTAGCACAATTATATCAATCCTAAAACCATGATACTAACAATCTACCCATTTGGTAAATTTTGGCTAAAACAACCAAAGCTCAATTAAACTGGAGAGAGGAATAACACCACAAAGGAATAAAACTACATAGAAATAAAATCACAAACCAAATTGCACAGATACTTGTATAAAAGATACATCAATTACACAAACACAAGCTACATGCTAAACATGTAAACTTTGTACATGAGGAAGAAGATAACTTGCATCTTCAGAACCATCCAAGTTACTCCCTCTAAAACACAAAACTAGTTCTTGTCAAAGAGAGATTACTTTTCCCTTCAAGAACTCAACACATTAGAAGAACATGCAGCAGAAGCAGCACATATAACTCAGAGCACAAAACACAACAATGCTCATAACTCGAAACACAAGACACAAAAGATAGGACTCAAACAGAAAAGCTCATAACTCAGAACACAAGACACAAAATACAGGACTCAAATAGAAAAGACACAACAAACAGGATGTTAGAACATCCTGCAAACAACCATAACAGAAGTAGCAGCAGAAGCAGAAACAAGACAGAAAAACTCAAGATCACATGATAGACAGTCATACTCCCCCTATAGTGCTGCATACAACAAGCAATAACACCAGACTAGACTCAGTGACACTTTTCTCCCCCTTTTTAGCCAAAAATTGATAAAATCTTAGTGAAAAGAAACTGACCAAAAAAAAAGAATCAACAAAAGTAAGAATTGATTTAAGACAAACAAAAATAAACTGACTCTATGACTTGATGTAAGACTAATAACATCAAACTGGCTCAAAAGAAAGTACATAAAGAAGAAAGAAAAAAATTGAAACTGAAGGAAAAATAGACTTGACCCAAAGAGACAAAAACTAAGTCTCTTCAAAGAGACAAAAACTAATGAGACACAAACAAAAAGACTCAACCGAAACAAAAGACAGACTCAAAAAAGAACATAGACTTTTTTTCGAATTTTTTTTATATAACAGATAGCAGACAATAATTATCCAACTCTACCTCCTGAGTCAATGAAATTGACTCAATCTTTATCAGCATCATAGTCTGAATCAAGTATTTGTTCATGCTTTTTCTTGAGGGACTTCATCTTTGTTGCAGATGTTTTCCCTACTCTGGATGTTCCAATAAATGTTCCAACATTTGTTATAGTGTTAGACACTACTTTCTTTGAACCAGAACCCACTTCCTTCTTGGTTTCTAACAGAAGAGCATTCTTTGCATCAGCAATTTTGGAAGTTTTTCTCATGTTGAAATGCAACTTGTTAGAATGGTGAGATAGTAATGCTTTTAAGTACAAGGAGAGTTACCTAGTTTGTAACGACACCTTGCTTGTAACAACAGTTCAGTCAATGAAAGTGTTTTTGAAAGAAGATAAAATTCTCTTTAGTAACAGTGCACCACTCACCTTAGGAGAGAGAGAGAGAGAGCGCGAGACGCCCTTGTTCAACTTTTCTCTGTTCCTAAGCTTTGAGTGCTGGAAAAATGTTACAACATTTGAAATGACATTCTCTATGCCATTGAAAATGATTCTTTTGAGATTTCACACTCCACTAGGTGAAAGAATATAGTTGTCAATGGTACAAATTGTTATTACTATAATTCTTCAGTAGTGAAATTCCAAAATTAACCCTCATATTTTCAATGTAACTTGCACCTCCAGTTATGATGAAAATACTTCTTAGATCTTCTTAGACATACCAAGCTTAAGAGTTTCAATATTTTCCTGTCACAAGACCCCTGGCACAATGATGACATAACCAATAACTTTGTTCTACAAGCAGAATAAAATCCTTGTACCTTGATTTTAGTATCATGTCACACTATAATGTCATGACATTCAGTTTAACATTATAATCTTTTAGTAATCAACCCAATTGAGAACACGTCTTCCTTCATCAATGAACCTAGTCTTAAGGATATGCTAGGATTTAATTAATTCTAATCTAAGAGGTCATAATATCCTCCAATAATATTATCTTCTTCTGACTTGGTCAATAGCATTTTACTCCAAGACTCATCATCATTATATAGTTCACTTCTGAAAAAACAAATGATTTCAGACTAGAATAAACTCCAAATAATGAACTCGCTTTTTAACAAAATGTTGTTTTCTTGAGTGTTTTCTTATTCCCTGTCAGCCCTTTAGAGTCTTCCACAATGTTTGGAGTATCAACCTGCTGCAATGATGTTTCAACATATGGTTGAACATCAGTACCTTTCTCAATGAACATGTCACTGATTTTAGTCTTGAATTTAACATCACTAAAAGTACTTATCTCAGTAGAGAAACTCAGAAACATACCTTGTTCTCATTCAAGGACCAGATAAGAACATTTGAAGACTTCACAGATAATAGATTTACTTTGTTATAGATCACAACAGAAAATCATATATATGAATTTATCCACCAGGACACTCATCTTGCATTGAACTAGTAAGATCCATAGAACAGTTTCCAGAGATTTTGCTACTGTCTGATGTTTCACCTTATGGTGTGACATCTTGACTTCTTCTTCCTCGATCACCAAGTAAAAGAATAAGCAATTAAATATTTATGGAGTCCAAAAATAGAAATTGCTTAAATCCTTATAAGAACTTTATACATCTCATTAGAGACAAAACATTTTTCCTTGATGAGATATACCTTCAGACCTTGATCATACAACTAACTTATGTTTAACACAATAGTCATAAGTCCTTAAGTAAGAAGAAAAATTACTAAAACTTAGAGAATTCAT